TGTTGGCTCAGAGATGAAACCCAGAACTAATCTGATTTTCTAGCTAGAAACAGCAATGAGCATTGAAAGCCTTTGGATATGTGGATCTGTTTACTAATTTACTAATTTGAGGTAAGTTTAATGAACTTATTATTCAAAACACAAAGAACATAACTCCAAATAATTAAGCAGTGACTTTGTGTGAGACATGAATTTAGCTTTTTAAGATTCCCAAACTCTTCTGCTTGCTATTCACCACCATTAAAGTGAGGTACACAGAGTAATATGCTCAGAAGTACACAAAAGTTGGCTTATATCCGTATTTAAGCCCAGTGTCATTCTGAAATATGCTACCCAATAGGTCATGAAAGTTGTATATGAAGTGAATTTTTGTTAAAAGAAGCACAAGTTGACATTTATTTTGAAGATATTTACAGAGATAAGCTCCACAAATATTAAAATGCGCCTCCTACCACTCTATCATCCACATGTGGATACATATAAAGGAATAATATTCCATTGTATGTATTTAACATAACTTCTTTATCCATCATTGTGTTGATAGACATTTTGCTTGCTTCTATATCTCAGCTATGGTAAACAGTGTTGTAATAAATATGGGAGTACAGGTATCTCTTTTATATAGTGATTTCCTTTCTTTTGAATAAATACCAAGTAGTAGGATGGCTGGATCAAATGGTAGATCTATTTCTAGTTTTCAAAGAAACCTTCATACTGTTTTTCCTAGTGGTTGTACTAATTTACACTTCTACCATGATGATATTCTTTACAGAAATAGAAAAGGCAATTCTAAAATTCATATGGAACCACAATAGAAACAGAAAAGCTAAACCAAGCCTGAATAAAAGGAATAAATAATACCTGATTTCAAAAAATACTAACAACAAGATTTGAATTTATAAATAATGGAGTGTTTTTTTAACCTAATACTGCAGGAAAAGTCAGATAATTTACAAAAACCAAAATTAAAATCTATATAGTCATGTCATTCTAGGAGGAAGGAGAATAATGAATACTGACATCCATGGTATGGTATAGTAATAAGGCAGAATCCACCACTGAAGAAAAAGGACAAACCAAAGGAATCTCAAAAAACTATTAGCCCCTATGTGTGGACTCATTTGACATGATGAAGTTCCAAAAATCCCATCCACACAGTGAGAATGCATCCAGCAGCCAACAGCCTTCTCTGGGCATTCACCAAGCTACACTGAAGATCAAGAGCAAGTTACAAAATCTGGGAAACATAATCCTGAGATGTTTGAGGATATTTTTAGTATAAGGCAGTATCCCCATGAAAGTTGGGTTCAGGGAAGAAGAACTGAAAGAAATATGTCTGATAAAGTCTGTCCCTTCACCTAGTTAATGTTAGTACAGTTGCAAATGAATGCAGAATTACAGCAGGAGAACATAAATGAATCCTCAGGGCACTGAGAACTTACACTAAGTGCAAGGCATTTGATGCCAAAGGCTTGAAGCAGAGCATCAGGAAGAAGAGAGACCTCCTGAGGTGACTAAAGTCAAGAGCAAGAAAGTAAACAGAGCTCCCGAGCAACTTAAACAGGCTAGAAGCACACAGAGCTATGTGGAATCTTAACAATGCTCAGAAAATAAGCCTTAATGTTACAAAAGTCCTTACTCTTTCCTTAAAACTTTTGAAGTCAGTAATAAACTAATCTAACGAAAGCATAAACAATACCTACATGTCTCTAATGTGTGTAAGATTCCCTCAACCTTCTCAAATGAAGGACAAAAAAAAAAGAGTATGTCTTTTTCTGGGGTAAATATCAATTATTTCAATATCTACTTATCTTTTTTGTTTACTTACAATGTCCAACACACAATTAAAAAAATTATGAGACACACAAAGAAAGAAGAAAATGTGAATAGTAATCAAATCACAAGAGTCAATAGAGGCCGGCACCGCTGCTCACTAGGCTAATCCTCCACCTTGCGGCGCCGGCACACCAGGTTCTAGTCCCTGTCGGGGTGCCGGATTCTGTCCTGGTTGCCCCTCTTCCAGGCCAGCTCTCTGCTGTGGCCCGGGAGTGCAGTGGAGGATGGCCCAAGTGCTTGGGCCCTGTACCCGCATGGGAGACCAGGAGAAGCACCTGGCTCCTGCCATCGGATCAGCGCGGTGTGCCGGCCACGGCGCGCCGGCCGCGGCGGCCATTGGAGGGTGAACCAACGGCAAAAGGAAGACCTTTCTCTCTGTCTCTCTCTCTCTCACTGTCCACTCTGCCTGTCCAAAAAAAAAAAAAAAAAAGAGTCAATAGAATCAGACATTAGGAAGCGCAGATGTTAGAATTATCAGAGAATAACTTTAGCATAACATTAATAAATATGTCAAATAATTTAATTGGAGGACAATATGCATGAGTAGAAAGAGATTTTCAGCAGCAAAGTATAAACTATAAAAGGGAAACACATTGAAATGCCAGAAATAGAAAATGTTATATCATCAATATAACCATTGGTTTGATTGGTTTGATACATGAGCTTGGATTATTATCAGCAGAACAAAAGAAACAGTAAATCTCAAAACAGGTCAATCACCCAAATTCAAACTTAAAAAAAAGAGGGCCAGGTACATGGTATAGTAGGTTAAGCCTCTGCCTGCAGCACCGGCATCCCATATGGTGCTGGTTAATGTCCTGGCTCCTCTTCTTCCGATCCAGCTCTCTGCTATGGCATGGGACAGTAGTGGAAGATGGCCCAAGTGCTCGGGCCCCCACACCTGTGTGGGAGACACGGAGGAAGCTCCTGGCTCCTGGCTTTGGACTTGCCCAGCTCCAGCCATTGTAGCCATTTTGGGAGTAAACCAGCAGATGGAAGATCTCTCTCTCTTTCTCTCTCTGTCTATTCCTCTCTGTGTCTATAACTCGGCATCTTAAATAAATAAATCTTTTTATTTAAAAAAAAAGAAAGAAAATGGTGAAAATGTGGGACAGAGTCCTTGGTTTGTGGAATAATATTAAACAGTCTAATTGCATCCAATGAGGTATAGAAAATGAGTCACAAATATTTGAGACTTGATGGCTCAAAATGATTTAAAATATCAAAGATAAATAATATCAAGAACTGTAGTAACCCCAAAAATAATAAACACAGATCATACCACAGCAAGGGAAACCATAGTAACAATGTAGAGTGAGAGATGGCACAAAAAAATCTTAAAAACAGATTTAAAAAATTACATACAAGGATGCAATTGAAATCAAACCAAATATATCTTTCTTTTCATATTGTGATGAAACAAAAACAAACTATTGAGCCTGTAACTAAAATGTTTGTTCAAAACAGATAGACAATGCTTGCTTCTGAATTCTAGAAAGTGGCGTTGAGCAAGCCAGCAGAAGTTACAAAGTAATCTGGCTCTTCCCAGTCAGTATGATTGGAGTTTTGAATTGATTGTAACAATGTAAAGAGGAATGAATAATGAAGGGCACAGGAAGTGTAAACTGTACGCTGAGTGGGTTTCATCCTGATTAATAAAACACTGGACTCTCTGAACACCATACTTTGCCTTTTTAGATCCCAGCTAAATAACATTTTGTAGCCACTTAGTTTTATATAACATCCTGGTATGCCCGCCTCATGATAAAGTCAACCCATCAAGCAAGTTCCCCCCACCCTGGGGAACTTACTGTTAGACCTGCAGCCAGCTTCAGCACATGACTCAGCAGCCCAACCACGTTTACAGCCTCTTAAGAAACCCCAGACCATCCTAACATAGGATGATGATAGTTCTTGAGCTTACTAACCTGCTATCCTCTCATTTATCAATAAATAAAACTATCTGTTTTCTTTACCCCCAAACATGGTCCTCATTATTTTGATTCAGCACCAGGGACAGTGACCAAACTTTCAGTCGCACGATAATTATATCTGACTTCTCATAAGCAACAATGAAGTTCAAGAGAAAGAATGATGTGACATTTTTAAAGAACTGAAAAAGAGACACATTAGTCTGCAGTTCTCTACAGGATTCTCAACAGATTCTAAATAGAATTACAGACATTTCTACATTCCATAAAAATGAAAAATAAAACTACTTGCAGACCCATCCCCTGACAAAACATAATTTTTCTGCAGCAAAATATACTAAATATACTAAAAGAAATTTTTAAACCTTCCAAGAAATTATATCACATGAATTCTACATAAATTAATTTAAAACACAAGAAAAGATAAAATATTTGAACAAATATAAGAGCTTTATAAAGCGTATTACCCATCTTGCATATTTAAAGCCAATTAAAAGGGGAGATTTTATGGCAGAGTAGGTTAAGCCACTTCTTGAGATGCCTACATTCCATAATGGACTGCCTGGGATCAAGACTTGCCTCTGCCTCCAACCCAGCTTCCAGCTACTATCCCTAGGAGGCAGCAGCTGATGACACAAGTACTTGGGTCATCACCACCCATGTATGAGACTTGCATGGATTTCTTAGCTCTTGGATTTAGTCTGACACAGTACCAGTTTATACAGGAATGTGGGGAGAAAACCAGCAAATGCAATCCCTCTGTCTTGCTCTCTCTCTCTCCTTCTCCCTCACCCTCCAGCTTTCTGTTTCACTGTGGCTTTTAAATTAATAAATAAAATTTTTCAAAAAAATCAAAGTACTATGGGTTGATACCATATGGGTGAAAGTAAAAGAGCAACAGAAATGGGGAAGAAGGATGTATGTCAAATTATATTGTTTTACATTTCTTAATTGCCCATGAAATTCAATATCTTTGAAGATAGATGTCAATATATTAAATATGCATATTAAAATCTGCACAGTGACTGCTAAAGCCATTTCTCAAACAGTATCACTAAAAGGCAGTATCTATAGCTAAAAAATAATATAGCTAAATGGAACTTCGAAAAATATCCCAATCATCTAAAAAAACAGAATAAAATAATATAAAAAATATGAAGATAGATGACATAATTTTCTATGCTTATCAATTCCTACATTAAAAGTAGAAGGACTAAATATTTTGGTAAAAAGAAAGAGATATTCAAATTCAATTTTAAAAATAAAGACTTATGTAAAATAATTATTTAAAATAATTTTTAAAAATTAAGACATATTTAGGCCAGCACCGCGGCTCACTAGGCTAATCCTCTCTGCCTATGGCGCCGGCACCCCAGGTTCTAGTCCCAGTTGAGGCGCCGGATTCTGTCCTGGTTGCTCCTCTTCCAATTCAGCTCTCTGCTGTGGCCCGGGAGTGCAGTGGAGGATGGCCCAAGTCCTTGGGCCCTGCACCCACATGAGAGACCAGGAGAGGCACCTGGCTCCTTGCTTCAGATCAGCGTGGTGCTCTGGCCACATACACCAGCCGTAGCGGCCATTGTGGGGTGAACCAATGGAAAAGGAAGACTTTTCTCTCTGTCTCTCTCTCTCACTTGCCACTCTGCCTGTCAAAAATAAAAAATAAATAAAAGACTTGTGTTAAGTGTTTAGAATAGCACTTAGCAGACACTCAAAAAAAATTAAGACATATTTAAAATAAGCACACTATAAAATCCCTAATAGGTTGAAAGTAAAAGGATCCAAAAGATAGACCATAACAATGATAAGCATTAGAAAGGTGTCCATATTAATTTCAGGCAAAGTAGACATCAAAACAGAGTATTCCCAAAGAAAAAGAAATTTCAAAAGTATAAAAATATTTATTTATTAAGAACACATAAGAATCTTAAATTTCTATTCATCTGATAGCATATTTTAAAAATATATGAAGCAAAAAATTCACAAAACTAAAGTGATCAACAAATTCACTGATCAGTCTCTTTAAAAAAAAAAAAGACTTATTTATTTGAAAGGCAGAGTGACACAGAGAGGAAGAGACAGAGGGAGAAAGAAATAGTCCATCTTCTGGTTCATTCCCAAAATGGCTGCAGCATCCAGGACCAGGCCAGGCCGAGGCTAGGAACTCCATCCAGCTCTCCCCCATATAGAAGGCAGGGGCCCAAGTGCTTAGGCCATCTTCTGCTCCTTTCTCAGTTGCATCAGCAGGAAGCTGGATTGGAAGCAGAGCAGTCAGGACAAGAACTGGTATATGAAATACCAGTGCCACAGGTGGTGCTTAACTCACTACACCACAATGCTGGACCCAGCTTGTCATACTCTTGAACGCCTCAACCTTGAAAACTGTGAAACAAAATAAATACCTCTATAAAACACCCAGTCTCATGTATTTTGTTACAGCAACCAAACATAGACCAAGACAGTGACTATAGTTAATAAAATATGCTTGAAAATTGCTGAGTGGATTTTAAATGTTCATACCACAAAATGATTTGATTGTAAGGCAATGATTTGTTAATTATTTGATATAATCATCCTATAATCTATCATATATCAAAACATCTCATTGTCCATGATAAATGTATACAATTTTGTCAATTTAAAAAAATGAATTTTTTTAAAAATAAAATACTACAACCATTTTGTTTGAAAAACAGCTAAAAATTTTTAAATATTACTAGAAAATTCAGCCATTTCCCTCTTAGGTATTTGCCTAACAGAAATAACAGAACATGTCCATATAAGATCCATATATAAACATTCATAGCAGCCTTACTTTTAATGCCCCCAGTGGAAAAAACCCAAATGTTCACTAACAGATGGATAGATAAACACATATGACAAACCTATAGCATGGAATATTACTCAGCAGCAAAAATCAATAAACTATTGGTACATGTACATTGTCGCTGAATCTAAATATAATTAGACTGAAAGACAAAATAAGTATAAACTCCATAATACTAAAAATACAAACTGACATACCATGGTCAAAACCAGATCAATGATTGCATAGGGATGAGGAAAGTAGGGAAAGGATAAAGGAAGGGATGATCAAGGCAACTGACAACTTCTGGGAACAGTGGATTTAGTCAATATCTGGATTGTGAGGAAGATGATGGCATTATATATGTGTGTGTATGTAGACATATATATGTATATCAAATATATAAATATATGTCAAGACATCAAATTGTGTACTTTAAATATGTGAAGTTTATGGTAGGCTAGTGTTATGGACAGCAATTGTATTCCCAAAATTCACATGCTGAAGTATCTTGAATGTGACTTTATTGAGATATAGGATCTTTAAAGAGATAATTAAGGTAAAACAAGGCCATGTTGGTGAGCTCTAATCCAACATAATCTGTGTCCTTATAAGATGAGATGATGAAGATGCAGATTACATAAAGACCATGTAAGGACATAGCAAAGAGCTAGCCATTTGTAAAGCTAGGAGAGCAGCCTCAGAAGAAAACAACTTTATTAAGATACCTTGATCTGGACTTCTAACCTCCAGAACTGTGAGATAATAAATTTCTGCTGTTTAAGCCACTAAGTGTGTGATATTTTGTTATGGTAGCCCTACTAAAGTAATATAACCATCCTTCACTGGAATTATTAAAATAAAAATAAATGCAATGCCACATTAAACATAGTAAGTATAATTACAAATATTAATATAATAAGTTTAATAACAGGCCAACTTAATAGAATAAAGGAAAAATTATATAATTATCTTAAAATGTACAAAGACAGCATTTAACAAAATCCAATTCCTATTCATAATTAAAAATTATCTACTAATAAGAAAAAAAATTTTCAATAAGAAAGAGGATCTATGAAAAATCTATAACTAACATCATAACTAAACACTTTGCCCCATTCCCATATCTGTATGTCCACTCTCCCCATTTCTATTCTACATTGCATTTAAAATAGAAGCCAGTGTAATAAGGTATGAAAAGTAATTAAAAGACATAAACATGGAAAGGAAGAAGTAAAGCTGTTTTGGTCACAGACAACATAATTGTATTGAAATCTTGTGAAATTTACCCCTTCTCCTTACACCAAAACAACACAAAACTTAAGAGAATGATTGAATTTAATAAAGGGCAGGATACAAGATACAAAAACCAGCCATATTTCTATACATTAGCAATAAACAATTGAAAAATAAAAATTAGAAAGCAGTTATCATGTGCAATAGCATTTTTTATTTGACAGGTAGAGTTACAGACAGTGAGAGAGACAGAGAGAAAGGCAATAGCATTTTTAAAATTAAGAAAATCTTTTTTCTAAATTTCTACTTATTGATTATTTGAAAGGCAAAGACACAGAGATCTTCCATCAGCTAGCGCCAAATGCCTGCAGTATCTAGAACTGGGCCAGGCCAAAGCCAGGAGCCCAGAACCCACTCTGGGCTAGACGACAAGAATTTTTTTTTATTTAGAGAGAGTGACATTCTTGGAAAATATGTAGATTGAAATCTGTATTGAAATGGAGTTATATGAAGCTGCCCATTCCACTGAGGTTTGGAAATCTTTCACCACATAAGTAATTTCCATGTCTTTTATTTAAAAATACCATCTAAACTAAAAAAAAAAAAAAAAAAAAAAAAAAACCTGAGAGTGCTCATACCTAGAGTCTGTAAACACAAAAAGCATTAAGAGAAAAAGAAACACATTCTGTAACACCATTGCAATTAGTTACCTTATTAAAACACAGTAAATGTTTAGTTGTGGTTCTTAAAATGTTCACACTTTGATGATAGATCCATATGCAAAGAATCACATAATAATGGAGTAAAGATACAACATAGGTATATAAAGTTGCCCTAGGATTAAAGAATATGAAATTGCCCAAAAATATCAGGAGAAGTTCACAAAAGAAAAAAGGTATTTGAACTAAAACTTAAAGAAAATGTAATCTGACAAATGGAGGAACAGGAAGAGAAGGAGATGTTGCAGAAGAGAGAAATAGCAGAACATATCTTCAGATGCCATCTGGATATAGGTTCCCCAGAAACATCAAAGAAATCACAGATGTAAGTCAGAGCTGGAAATATTCTCCAACTGCTTTTGCATTTGACAGATGATAGATCCAAAGTCCAAACCCACACTGACTTTCAAAATCATAAACTTGTTAATGAAAAACTCAAGAACAGAATTAAAGTCCACTAATTCAAAGTTTACGATTGTTCTATTACAATGAGCTTCCCCTATGAAGCAACAAGGACATTTTTAAAAAGAAGCTATTCCTATTATTCTCACATTCATCAGGTTCAAACAGACTACTTTTTTTTTAACTTTCATTTAATGAATATAAATTTCCAAAGTACAGCTTATGGATTACAATGGCTTCCCCCCCATAACGTCCCTCCCACCTGCAACCCTCCCCTTTCCCACTCCCTCTCCCCTTCCATTCACATCAAGATTCATTTTCGATTTTCTTTATATACAGAAGATCAGTTTAGCATACATTAAGTAAAGATTTCAACAGTTTGCTCCCACACAGAAACATAAAGTGAAAAATACTGTTTGAGTACTAGTGATAGCATTAAATCTCAATGTACAGCACACTAAGGACAGAGATCCTACATGAGGAGTAAGTGCACAGTGACTCCTGTTGTTGACTTAACAAATTGACACTCTTGTTTATGGCAGCAGTAATCACCCAAGGCTCTTGTCATGAGCTGCCAAGGCTATGGAAGCCCCCTGAGTTCACCAACTCTGATCATATTTAGACAAGGCCATGGTCAAAGTGGAAGTTCTCTCCTCCCTTCAGAGAAAGGTACCTTCTTCTTTGATGACCCGTTCTTTCCACTGGGATCTCACTCGCGGAGATCTTTCATTTAGGTTTTTTTTTTCTTTCCCCCCAGAGTGTCTTGGCTTTCCATGCCTGAAATACTTTCATGGGCATTTCAGCCTGATCCAAATGCCTTAAGGGCTGACTCTGAGGCCAGAGTGCTGTTTAGGACATCTGCCATTCTATGGGTCTGCTGTGTATCTCACTTCCCATGTTGGATCGTTCTCTCCCTTTTTGATTCTATCAGCTAGTATTTGCAGACACTAGTCTTGTTTATGTGATCCCTTTGGTTCTTAGTCCTCTAATTATGATCAATTGTGAACAGAAATTGATCACTAGGACTAGTGAGATGGCATTGGTACATGCCACCTTGATGGGATTGAATTGGAATCCCCTGGTAGGTTTCTAACTCTACCGTTTGAGGTAAGTCAGCTTGAGCATGTCCCAAATTGCACATCTCTTCCCTCTCTTAGTCCCACTCTTATATTTAACAGTGATCACTTTTCAGTTAAGTTTCAGCACTTAAGAAGAATTGTGTATTGATTACAGTATTCAACCAAAAGTATTAAGTAGAACAAACAAAAAGAAAATACTAAGAGGGATAACATACCAAGTTGCTCATCAACAGTCAGGGTGAGGGCTGATCAAGTCACCATTTCTCCTAGTGTTCATTTCACTTTAACAGGTTTCCTTTTTGGTGCTCAGTTAGGTGTCACCTATCAGGGAGAACAAGTGGTATTTGTCCCTTTGGGATTGGCTTATTTCACTCAGCATAATGTTTTCCAAATTCCTAACAAGGATCACTTTTCAGTTAAAATTTAAACACCTAAGAATAATTGTGTGTTAATTACAGAGTTCACCGGCGCCGCGGCTCACTAGGCTAATCCTCCGCCTAGCGGCGCCGGCACACCGGGTTCTAGTCCCCGTCGGGGCGCCGGATTCTGTCCCGGTTGCCCCTCTTCCAGGCCAGCCCTCTGCTGTGGCCAGGGAGTGCAGTGAAGGATGGCCCAGGTGCTTGGGCCCTGCATCCCATGGGAGACCAGGAAAAGCACCTGGCTCCTGGCTCCTGCCATCGGAACAGCGCGGTGCGCCGGCCGCAGCGCGCCGGCCACGGCGGCCATTGGAGGGTGAACCAACGGCAAAGGAAGACCTTTCTCTCTGTCTCTCTCTCTCACTGTCCACTCTGCCTGTCAAAAAAAAATAAATAAAAATAAAAAAAATAAAAAAAAAATTACAGAGTTCAACCAATGGTACTAGAACAAAAAAAATACTATATTGGATAAAGTATTACATTGTACATCAACCATCAGGACAAGAGCTGATCAAGTCACTGTTTATCATAGTGTCCATTTCACTTCTACTTCCAAACAATATAAAAAGATACGTTAGAATTTCTCTCTAACCCTGAAAACTTCTAAAGTCTCCAGATTTAGGGTAAGTTTTATTGATATATATGGCTCTTTTAGTCAAATTTTTAAAAATTCATAACCCATGAATGCTATAATAGAATAATGCTAGGCTTACCAGAATGCTATCAATAAATGAAAGTTTAATACATTATTAAATCTAAAAATTACATCTTGAACATATATTATGTAGCACACTGTATTAGGAAAAAATGATGCACAAGAGAGCTTATAAGACATTGAAATTCAGTATCTTGTGACTTATCACGCCATTTATTAGTCTTTCTTAATTATTTAAATCATATAATACAACATCAAATATACCTGGGTTTATGTCTTGCCTCCAGATTATCCAACTTTTTAAAGTTATGATTTCTCCTCTTCTATAGAACAAGCTAATAATATTATTCAGTTCATAAGTTGTAGGTAGTACAAAATGAAGTGAATTCAAAGCATTCAGTATATTGCTTGATACATAGTCAACAGTCATTCCAATCATCATTTTTAACATGTTCACTTTGATGTGGTTTCAATTAAGGTCTTAGTTTGAGTTCTCTAGAAAGCAGAGCCAAAATCAAGGATCAAACACTGATGCTTTCCTTGGGGTGTACAAATCATCAGGGAAAGTGAAGGATAAGGTAAATAAGACAAAGAAGGATGGACAGTCATGAAAAATGGCAGGTTGCCCTGCACAGCACTGCTTCTCAGTGAGCTGTAGAGACGCAGATCACTCCACAGAAGTTTTGCTTGGCCATACAGGACTTCTTCAGAACTATGTGGTTCTGTGGTTGGAATAGTCCATGAGAAAGAGGAAGGAAGGGTGAGTGAAATTTGCTATCTCCCAGATTCCATCTCTCATTGAGCAAAGATTGCTTCATGGGAATTAATACTAATATACTTAACAGCTGCATCATCTAGCTCTTCTGGTGACCCCTAGAGATGCAAGAAACAATACCTAGTATTATGATATTTCATTTGAGTCTGAAAAAGGAATGAGAGGATTCAGAAACTTTCACCTGTAGCCTGTCAACCTGACCACACTGTAGCGACCATACAATGACAACATAGGCCAGTGTCCAACCATTGACACCATAGACTGGAAAATCAACAGGGTAAGGAAATCCAAGGCAGGACGTAAGATCTGGGTCAATAGCTTTGCAATAGAGAGACTAATAAAATAAAATGCATTTTATAAAAAAATGTAAGTTTATTTTATAAAAATACTAATAAAAATGTATTAGTCAGGTTTTGTTGCAATAATGCTGCATAACAAAAAACCACCAAATCTCAATAGTTTAAAGCAAAAAAAAAATACTTATTTCTCCCTCATAACTCTGCATGTAAGCATTGGATTGGCTGGAATCAATTAGATTTGTCCGGGCTTTTATTCAGGTTTGTTTCTTGTATCTCTGATCTGGGCCCCCAAAAAAAGAGGCATTGGCTAACTATGGCATATTCTTCTCATGGCAGATGGCAGGACCATAAGAGAGGCCAATGGAAACTTGCCATGTGTCTTAAAGCCTTGGCTCAGAGCTGGCACACTGTCAATTCTGTGAAAAACAGTCACAGCAACTCATAAAACTCAAGTTTATAACCCACATCTTGTGAAATTCCCAGCAGCACCCCTACTCTACCAGGATAATACATATTTTAACATCTAAAATAGAATAGGCATTTCTTTGAACTAATTTGGTTTTTGTAATCACACTTGGAAACCTTTGAGGTATCTATTCTTCTGAGTCATTTTTCTTGGGTTGTAATTTTATTATCCAACATGACTTGAATTTTACTTCATTAACGACATCATTTGCTCCTATTAACACACCCAGAGACAAAGGACATCTAGAAAGCAAAATGCAGAACTCCAAGTACTATGCATTCATGAACTGGAATTAAAAGTTCCTAAGCAGTAGGGTTCTGGATACCAAGAATAGCCTAGCTGTTCCCTAGCCTTCTTCCAAGCCCCATGTGTTTGCTTAGTTAACACACTAAACTTTTTTTTTTTACTACTGCCAACATTTGCAAAGTCAAAATAGCTGTGGAGGAACAAGCTGTTCTGCCTCATGTCTCATCAACATTCTTTGCTCAGTGTATCAAAACACAGAAAGCATACAGAGTGAATGCAACAACTCTTCAAAAAGTTCCCTAGTGGGATTTTCTTCCTGAGAAATCATCCACAGCTGTCTACTTAAAACAACAGAAGAAAGGTGGGTCTTCTACTCAAACACAAATGAAATCCCAGAAAGCAAGTATGGATTTAAACAGTCTTTTGTCACTTGAAAAATAAAAATTATATAGGCTTGTATAAACTAATATCAAGATTACAACTGGGAAGCAAGTTTTTTTCCAGAGGATCAATTTTAAATTATTAAGGTAGTTACACCTTAAGTTCATAGAGAAAAAAATTCACCGAATTAACTCTAACACAAATCTCCTTAGCACCCAGGAAGAATTTTTATTTCAAATAGTAACTATATTGTAAGTAGTCCTATGCCAAGGATATAAGATAGGTCCACTTAAACAAAATTAAAATGAAAGGTTGATAGGATGATCAAAGCCATTTCTCTTCAGATCAGATCAGCTGATCAACATTGCCTTTTAAGACAGAAAAGATCAAATCAATAGGAAAGTAACCTGTTTGTCCATATTTGAACATACAAGCATATAAAATTGAATGTTCAAGTTATAGTCTTTCTCTTATTCATGATCTTGTAATTAAATTAATATCTATCCCAATGAAACAATTTCTCTGTGTATGATTGCATGGTTAAAAGATGATATTTCATTTAACATAACAATTCACTTTAAGAATTAGGCTAATATTGGAAGTAATACTTAATAATTACTACTATGGTAACTTACATATTAGTGGCTTTAACAATAGCCAAGAAAACATTTGCTAAAGAGAGATTGTTTTTAGCAGAATTCTGGCAAGAAGTTGCTGCATTTCCAATAAAAAAGCCAAGATGATCTAATCCACCATCCTTTTATATCACTGCTTCTGTGTCCCTGCAACTTAAAGTGAAGGCTTTCCTAAGTATTCTTTTCTAATGATTGCAATAGACAACATGGGAAGATAGCCACATATCCTCTTTTCCAGTTAAACATTAAAACCAAAAATCAAAAAAGCTGTAAGAGAAGTATATTTTGAAATAAGATACTACTTCTGAATTTTGAGCAATTGTGGATTGAGAAACTGATAATATTCTGAGGGTATAGGTCATCCCTGAAACAAAAAGACCAACTTGCAATACATTATAAGGATTGTTACTTGGTACAGAATTTACAAAAGAAAATGGTATATTTCACAGCCTGGAGCAGAACCATGTGGAGAAACAAAGAGACTGAACAAGATAGACCTAAACTTGTCCATCTTATTATTTTAAAATATTTCATTTATATTTTAGTAATAAAGTATTATGTCAACATTAAAAACTTCAGACAGAGTAAAACAGAATGTATGTTTTTATTTCACGTTTGCTGTTTTCCTCACTGTTTGATTGTATTATTAGAGTAAAAGGGTAAGCTGTTTCTGATATTTTTTAAATGATTTATTTATTTGAAAGTCAGAGTTAGAGTGAGAGGGAAAGACACAGAGAGAGATCTTCCATGTGCTGGTTTACTCCCCAAATGATTGCAATGGCTGGAGCTGGGCCAGTCCAAAGCCAGGAGCCAGGAGATTCACCTAAGTGTCCCATATGGATGGCAGGGGTTCAAGCACTCAGGCCATCATCTGCTGCTTTCCCAGGTGCATTAGCAGGGAGCTGAATGGGAAGTGGAGCAGCTGGGATTTGAACTGGTGCCCATATGGGACGCTGGCATGGCAGGTGACTGCTTTACCCACAATGCCATACACGAACCCCAAGGGTAAGCTCTTATAATGTAGACACCAACCATAATTTCAATAATAGGGATGGGCATTTGGGACAGCAGTCAACACTTGGGCTGCCTGAGTCCAAATTGGAGTCCCAACTCCACTCACAATTCCAGGGTCCTCCCAATTGTACACCAATTGTACATGTGATGACTCAAATATCTGAATTTTTTCTACCCTTGTGTGAGACCTAGATTAACTGTCTAACTCCCAGGCATTTGAAGAGTGAACTAGCATATGGCAGCTGTTTCTCAAATACATAAAATTTTAAAAATAAATAATTTTTAAAAAAATAAGTTCATGTCTCTTCTCAAACAAGTCTTAGGTGAACAGTTCAATGTAGTGTGGTAGTTCTGTCTCATTTCATCACCTGAGATTCCAGACTTCCTTTCACTTTATTTTGCCATCCTCTCAGGAATCATCGGCCACCTGCATGGTGACAGGTGGATCACTAGAGATTCTAGCTGCAGGAAAAGAGAAAGTCTGAAAGAGGCACACCTGCTGGCTTCAGGACTGGGATCAGTGTTTAGATACCTTACCCCTCCCCACATTCTGTTAGTGAAAACTTAATCACACCCAAATGCGAGGGGATTCAGCAAATGTGATCTAGCTTTGTTCGTTTGATTCTTTGAAAGTTGAAAGGCACTGCCTTGATGAGTCCCTTTTGTCTAGCTACTTACTCTTTCAGCCTTATCAAGGGCACACAGAAAGAGCAAAGAACAGCTTTCACTGGACAACTGGCAGGCCAAAAATGAATTTTCGAAGGATGTCATGAAAGAAGATGATTTCATATTAGTACATGTTAGAGTCTGACAAGAAAAAATATTTCTGTTCCCAGTCTGTTCTGGCCCTAAATTATAGGAACAAATTAAATAACAATTCATAATTTCAGAGATAATCCAGTGTAAACCTTCTACACGTGAAAAAATGGAAGCCCAGAAGAGTAAAGCTGCCTGTTCAAGTATCCAGGAAGAGAAGAAAGATGGAATCCATGTCCCCCATTCTCTGCCGAGTGTGCTGCACAACCTGGCATGAATGAGCTAAATTTCACACCTAACTCACTTGAGTTCTCTGAATGAAGAAACTTCCAGCTTTAAGATAAATTACTTTTCAACTCTCAAATTAGGTGCTTTGTCTTTCTAGCCAATTCAAAGTCCCAGATAATTTCTAATACTCCATTTTAAATCTTACAGAGAGAAATGTATATATGTGGAAGAAAAAATTGAATTCTTAAATATGTTCCCACAAGAGAATCAAAACAAACTTGATGTACAGTTATCTATACTTCCTTTCCCCATTTGAAAGCAGGACACCCTGTGTTCATTACCTTAAGAAAAGAATTAATGGCAGAAAGCAAAGCAGAAAAAATAAATCTTTCTGTCTTTTTATTTCAAGGATCCAGGATGGGTTTCTCAACAGTGGCACTATTACTAATATTTGAGCCAACAATTTTTTGTTAGAAGGCACTGTCCTGAGAATTATAAAATATGCAGCAGAATCCTTGACTTCCCTGGACTAGATGCAGAGACAACCTCTGAGATTCTCTATTTGTGATATTTGCGATCATCAAAAATATCTCTGGACATTGCTGTTTGGCCCCTGCAGAGCAAAAATCATCAGCAGAGAGCCACTGATATAGGGGAACAAAAAAGAATTAAGACATATGCCAAAAACCCTAAACAGCACTCTGGCCTCAGAATCAGCCCTTAATGCATTAGATCCAGCAAAAAAGCCCATGAGAGTTTCTCAGGTATGGAAAGCCAAGACACTCTGGCAAAAAATGACCTAAATGAAAGATCTCTGTGAGATCCCAGTGGAAAGAATGGGCCGTCAAAGAAGGAGGTACCTTTCTCTGAAGGGAGGAGAGAACTTCCACTTTGACTATGGCCTTATCTAAATAAGGTCGGAGTCTGTGAACCCAAGAGGCTTCCACAGCCTTGGCAGCTCATGACAAGAGCCTCAGGTGATTACTGACATCATAAATAAGAGTGTCAATTGTTAAATCAACGACAGGATTCACTGTGCACTTAACTCCCCATGTAAGACCTCTGTCCTTAATGTGTTGTACTATGCGAATTAACAGTAAAACTAGTATTCAAACAGTACTTTATACTTCATGTGTCTGTGTTGGTGTAATCTGTTGAAATCTTTACTTAAAATATACTAAGTTGATATTCGGTATATAAAGTTAATTAAAAATGAATCTTAATGAAGAATGGGATGGGAGAGGGAGTATGAGATGGAATGGTTTGTGGGTGGGAGAGTGGTTATGGGGGGGAAAACTGCTATAATCCAAAAGTTGTACTTTAGAAATTAATATTTATTAAATAAAAGTTAATAAAATAAATTGAAAAAAAAGTACCAGCCAGTACCAGCCAAAGAGAGGCAAGAGAAAGGACAGTGCAGGGAGCACTATTGCTTGGTAGTGCCCATCAATTCCATCACTGCCACAGTAATGAGTTGAGGGGGCAGAAGCCCAGCCCCGGCAGAATTAATGTTTCATTGAATGGGAGCCCTTCAGTCTTCTTGTAACTTTTCTTCTCCCTAACTTCATCTCTGATCATGTCCTTGCATTTTTCTATTTAAAGATATTTTAAAAGCTAAACTTTTAGGTTGGTAGAGACCATGTCATTTGCTAAAGCCTGGAAATGATTCTGACAATATTTAAGACAAATGATCCTTAGAAGCAGAGTTACATAAAATTTCTCAATCATACTCACCATTTATTTTGTGTTAATCCATCAGTCTGGTGGATTGTTGAAAAATGTGGCAAATTGAATCAGTTTTTAATACATCCAAACATAACACCTTAGATCAGTTATCACAGTCTAGTTGTTTGATTACCCAGGTGTACCCTTCGTACACCGAAGTATTTACTAAGTGGTAACTTAAGCTCCTACTCATAAGGAAAAATATTACCACATTATTTATTCATTTATCCATCTATCTAGCAAGCTAACCTGACAACAATACTTATTAACTACCTATTATAGGCCAGATATTGTACTAAACAATTGGTGATACCAAGAAGAAAAGAAATTATCCTTGTTCTCAAGAAATTCATATGGAATATGTTGCTTTTACTGTATACCAATATCAGGGGAAAAAATGGGCACACAGACCTAATCTCATAAATGTCTGATTTCTAAATAAGTAAACATACAAGTATTACCATAATAATTCAATGTGCACTCATAATATATACAAAACAATGCCAGTATTTTGATATAGTATACATAGAGAAATATCAGAAAAAAATGCACACAAAGTTTAAAGTTAAAAGGAATGAAATATAAATGATCCTGAGTAAAAGGAAGTCAGCAGCATTGGAGCAAGTGTCCAAGAAGGCAAGTCACTGCCTTTTTGGCAGGGTACCTCCAATGCAGGGTCCACTGTGGTCCCATTTCCGGCTTACTCCAGACTGCCCTGTCCCATCACTACAACTGCAGCATACGACTCCGACACGTTAAGAAGTGAGAAGATAATGTTAGGTAGTCCTTCGTACATTATTTGGAATACAAACGTTATGGCTAGGGGAAAAGTCTTGCTTTGGAAAAATCCAAGATCCCCTTAGTTTTATTTTTATATAGACATTTAAAAGAGACTTTGGGAGAATGGATGAGGCTTAAGTAGAAAAAACACGTTCCCCATAAGTTCTCTTTTGCAGTCATTAATAGCATAACAATGAAAAGCTCAATTCTACCACATTATTGGCAACCATCCTTTCATCACTAAAAGGAATGATCTTATCATTGACAGATGCTAAGACTCAGTGGTTTGAATCACACCATGTGTTACAAATTAAAATGGCTAAAATCACAATAATGTTAATCTGGAAAAGAACAGGAGAAAAATAATAATTAGGAGCTACATGATGAATATTTAAGTGTAACTCACAGAAATGAGTCCAAAAAAAAAAAGCAGTGTATAAAATTAGATTATCCAAGAGCATTCAGGAGCGATCTAGGTCCACTCTGCATAAAGCTTTAAATGGAAAAATAGCTGTAATATGTTTTAATTTCTATTAAAGAAATAGAAGTTCATGCATAGGAAAATGATATTTAAAACTTGTATATATAGGAGGTATTTGGAATAGGGAGAACTTTTAACTTCTTAAACACCCACATCTTGAAATTTGAATTGTTGCAAGAAAAGTTTACTTTTCTTCTAATAAGGAAAAATATATATTTTTAACAAACAACCAAAAACTCTATTGAAAGAAATCATATTGTAGTATAACAGAAAGCATACTGAACTAAAAATCAAAAAGACTTGAGTTCAAAAATATCAGTGGGGCCACTCACCAGCAGGGAAATACATAGCAACTAACAGTAGTGCTGGTGCTGGTACTGTTTGCTGTTATAGCAACAAGGTTCCATCAACTCATTGCAAAGGACCCCTTAAACATGCCCAAGTCCCCTCCTCTGGAATTCTGCCTCTTTCACACATTTTTATATATCAGCATTTCCCCCTACTGACAATATGATGCATTACAGTCTTCTCAAAAAAAAGTTTTTTTATCCCACCTTCTCTACCACAGGGAGATTCCTCTGCACTGGAACATCCCTGATTTCCAGTCTTGCATCTACCTCTAACTGCTGCAACACCCAGGGCCAGTCCTCCCACTGTCCATGAGAGCACTGCAGGCACATCCGTGAAAACCAGGCTGCATTTTCTTGTGGAGTGACTTCATGGTCAGGTTCTTGAATTTTATTTCGGGTCCTAAGCACAGCGCCAAGGCTAGAGATATACACATGAATGAAATTTTGTGCTTACCTTAATGTCCATGGTGTCTCAAAGTGTTCTATGGAAACAGAAGTAAAAGATGACATGTTATTCACAGGCTCACTCACTCAGGTTAACACCTGAAGAAAACACAGGTGCTATCCTGACGTTGCCTACTAATTAATACTCCGTTTATACTTATAGACGGAGCAGATGTGGGAGGTGGGAATTGTTTTTTAATTCTTCAGTGAGTAAACATTTATTGGGGTTTACTATCCCCTAGGCATTAGGTTGGCTGCCAAGAATTCAAGGAAGATGAAAATTTCTTCCAAGAAGATGATAGGAGACCAATGAACTGGAGAACAAGGCAGTAAGCGCTCTGAACTCTGACTGGTCAACCACCCTTCCTGGAGGACTTGAGGAACTCCTCCCTGAGGAAGGACATTGGGTCAGAGCACAAAAGTCCTATCTTGCTAAGTAAAAAACAGAATAAAAGGGGAATGCCAGGAGAAGCCAGACATCCAGGGGGGAGAGGGGGCAAAGTTCGGCAATAGGCCCTTACTGTGCCAGGCTTCAACTGGCAGAGGCATACAGGAGTTCAGGGCTCCCTGAGGCTACCAACTCCCTGAGGCTACAGGGCACTGAACTCTGGGGGGATTCTCAGATCATCTGTAGTGAAGAAAAACTCTGGGGACAAACTTTAATCGGTTGATAATAAAGATTGTAGAGAGCACTGAAGATGTCCCCAAGTGGAAAGGAATACCAGCCAAAGGCAGGAGCAAAACCAGACTTCTAATGCATGCTCAGCCAAGTGCTAGCTGCTGAGAGCACTGGATTTCTTATGCTCACAAACTTTATTGAGGGTAACAATCACTATGGTTTCTTATCACTTCTTCAGAGATCCTAGTTCTTTGGATTTTTCTTTCTTAATACCCTACTGATTCAGAAATAGATGATCAACAGGCCACACTTGAAGCAGCATTGCAGTAGATCTGTATACAGGACTCTGATGAAATAGGTGAAAATTCCAGAGCTCTGAGTTATGAAGTCCCAAATGCTCCAAGTGAGTTCCAGAAAACTAGGAGCTTCCCCTGGCTGTTGACATCCCTGCTCACCACAGCCACATGAAAGCTAAAAAGGTGTTGCACATTTATCCAATGCGTAAAGAAAGTGATGCAGACTCAATGAGTGTTTTTGAAGATATCATGGAATAGTAATAATGAAAATACAACTCAGCACATGTTGTTAAAGCAATGTTGCTCTTCCATCCTACACCTGCAAGTTCTTTGTGGACTCTCTACTCCCACTGCAGCCACAAAGAGCACGAGGCTCCGGTGACAGGAACCGTGCCTCCACTTAGGTCCATGAGATTTGACCACACATCCATTTCCTCAAGCTTAAGCCCTCGGAAAGATGGAAAATAAGTCAGAAATGTGGTAGAGAGAATGATTGAAAACAAAGAAGGGTCAAACCATTGATCCTGGAGCCAGCACTGTGGCTCACTTGGTTAATTCAGTGCCTGCGGCACCAGCATCCAATATGGGCACTGGGTTCTAGTCCTGGTTGCTCCTCTTCCAGCCCAGCTCTCTGCTGTGGCCCAGGAGGGCAGTGGAGGATGGACCTAGTGCTTGGGCTCCTGCACCCGCATGGGAGACCAGGAGGAAGTACCTGGCTCCTGGCTTCAGATCGTTATAGCTCCGGCTGGAGCAGCCATTTGGGGGGTGAACCAATGGAAGGAAGACCTTTCTCTCTGTCTCTCTCTCTCACTGTCTATAACTCTACTTCTCAAACAAAAAAAAAAAAAGAAAGATCCCTCTCTGTCTATCTCATCCTCCTCCTCTGTAGCTCTGCCTTTCAAATAAATAAATACATCTTTAAAAAAATTGATCATTCTTTTGAAGTGAAGCTTGAATTTCAAAAAATATGTTTGTTTCAATTTTCCTAAGGGAAATAGAACCACAAATTGTATTCTATTGTGCTTAAGACACAGGAAAAGCCGAAAAGCTATTCAGAGTATGGGAACTTAATCACTAAGTTTTCCAATTACTACATAAATCTTTTAAAAAACTAATATAACTTTCTAAAGAGATGTCTGATTCATATTTTGTAAGTTCAATTTACATATAGACAATAAGTTGATCTTTTATGAACTATCAAATCTAGTTCCAGTCATGGACTAAAGAAGAAACAATTCTGTGGGAGAACAGTGCCATCTGCAGGAAGACTGTGTAACTACAGGGAAAGGCCACAACAGTTTCTCAAAAATAACACAATTCCACTGTACAACTTCCACATTCAGTAAATTGCCAGGCATACATTAACTCTCAACTAGTTATTGTTCTTGTTTATGTTATGATAATGATGGTAGTATATGTATTTGAATTGAATTTCTTGAAATTAAAAACCAAAGCAAGAAAGCTCAAGAAAGAAAAGAGCCAAGGTTCAATTTTTTCAGGTCATTCTTATTTTTTTCTAGAGACTCTTCCAGAAAGATGAAAAAGGGATAAGATAAGACAGATAAAAACATCTTGTTTTTATTTATTTATTTGAGAGGTAGAGTTACAGCCAGAGAGAAGAAGAAACAGAGAAAGGTCTTCCATCTGCTTGTTCACTTCCCCAAATGGCCACAAAGGCTAGGGATAGGCAGATCTGAAGCCAGGAGCAGAGAGCTTCTCCCATGTGGTTACAGGGACCCAAGGACTTGGGCCAACTTGTACTGTTTTCTCAGGCCATAGCAGAGAATCGAATCAGAAAAGGAGCAGCTGAAACTAAAACCAGCACCCATATGGGATGCCTGCACCACAGGCAGAGGCTTAGCCGACTGACTAAGCAACAGCACCAGCCACCAGAATACATCTTGTTTTAAAAGGCCTTACAGAAAGGATCTCATAACTTTCCACACCCATATGATAGTTATACAGACTTCAACAGGGCCAGGCACAGGCAAACTTGGGTAAACAACTAATATAAATTTAGTGTGTTGGAGCCAGGACTGTGGCATAACCAGTAGAGCCACTGCCTGCAGTGCCGGCACCCATATAGGCACCAGTTTGAGTCCCAGCTGCCCCACTTCCAATCTAGCTCTCTGCTATAGCCTAGGAAAGCAGAAGATGGCCCAAGTGCTTGGGTCTCTGCACCCACGTGGGAGACCCAGAAGAAGTGCCTGACTCCTATCTTTGGATCAGTGCAGCTCCAACTGTTGCAGCCATCTGGGTAGTGAACCAGCAGATGGAAGACGGATCTCTCTCTCTCTCTCTCTCTCTCTGCGTAATTCTGCATTTCAAATAAAATACATAAATCTTTTTAAATTTAAAAAAAAAACTACTAAAATTTTCCTCTCCCTTCTTTAGAATAACCACCACTCCTTACTTTAGAATACACATTCCTTAACTGTTCAGTAAACATTTGTTGTGCACCTGCTATGTTCCAGTTACAGTCCCAGCTTGCAATCAACATTTCCAGTCCTTAAACAGTTTACACCTGGCTGATGCTGCAAGACTCCAGCTGCTCCAGCTTCCTCATGGTCCCCCTCCTCCTTTATCAGCTCCTCATTTCTTCTTCCTTAAACACACTTTATGCAAGGAACTTTTCTCAATCCTACTCACTTCCAACAAAACTAAACTGTGCTTCATTCTCAGGTTTTCAACCTTGGTGGTGACTAGCTAATCTGATAAACTACCCCATCACAAGTGCCAACTGAGCACATCACCAAGACAATTCCAACACATTTTAATGGGGGTCCTTCTGAAGATAACAATAATCATTTAGTTAGTCTTTGTGTTGGCCTAAAGATGTTTTGCATTAAATAAGGCCTTTCGGCACAGGCCAACATCACCCACAAGGTACCTGCTCCTCCATAGAGCAGAGTCAAACTAGATTTTATGGAACACCATGAAAATAGAAAAAGTGTCTCCAAAGAAATTATGGTTACTTATTTAATATGTATTAATTATTTTCAAACTATGTCAATTGTGGGGTTTTTATCTAATTTTCGAAGTACAGCCATTTGGAGATCAAATATTATCATCCAATGTCTATACATCACTATTGCTGTAAAAACAGTTTAGGTTAAAAAAGAAAAACCCTGACTCCTAGAGCAATAAAGAAACTTATGACATTTAAGCTTTATTGATTCCTGCTTTGTAGTGTGTTTCAAAATATCTCTTTTGTGGCTAAAAGGATTGGCTGTGCAATTAGTAAAAATAGATTTATTTGATTCTAATCTTTAAAGATTTTGATGTAACATTACTTGTTCATTCTTTTATTCATGAAAAAATTACTGTAAAACAGTTTGAAATTCCTTATAAAAACTAAACATGTATCTAAGATATATGGCCACTACCCAGTAATTGTATTTTGGGGCATTTGTTCCAGAGAAATAGAAATCATTTTCAGAAAAACCTGTACACTAGTGCTTATAGTAGTTACAGCTGTAATAGTCCCAAATTAGGAACACCCCAGATGTCCTTCAACAGGTGAATGATAACACCAAGTAGCACAGCTATGCTATGGGACACTAGTTTAATAACCAGCATATATAAAGAGATCAAGCAACTCAACAACAAAACATACAATCTGGTTAAGAAATGGGCAAAGGACTTAGACAATTTGCAAAAGAGGAAATCCAAATGGCTAAAAGACACATGAAAAAAATGCTCAAGATTGCTAGCCATCAAAGACATGCAGATCAAAACCACAATGAGGTTTCACTTCACTCCCATTAGAATGGCTTTCAAACAGAAATCAACAAACAATAAATGCTGGTGAGAATGTAGGGAAAAAGGTATCCTAATCTGCTGTTAGTGAGAATGTAAACTGGTAAAGCTACTATGGAAGACAGTGTGGAGATACCTCAGAGGTCTGAATATAGCCCTACCATATGACCCAGCCATCCCACTCCTGAGAATCTATCCAAGGGAAATGAAATCAGCATATGAAAAAACTATCTATATCTCCATGCTTATTGCAGCTCAATTCACAATAACAAAGACGTGGAATCAACCCAAATGCCTGTCAACTGAAAACTGGATGAAGGAATTATGGGATATGTACACCATGGAATACTACACAGCAGTAAAA